GGTAGGGTGGCCGTTACAATATCCCTTAATACCCACCCAGAAGGATCTTTTGGGGATAAATCAGAATAGGCTGAGCCTCTTCCTGGTCTAGTAGTGGGCTGTCTTCTGCTTTGACTTGCCTGTGCAATCAGCTAAAAGTATTTTATAGGTAAGTATTTGGTTTAAAATTCTCTGCAGATTTTTTAAATAAAAAAACAAACAAAAAACTGGTGTAACTTTCCTCCTGGTTTGATCCTTTAACAGCTTTACTTGTAGTATTTAGTAATGTGTGAAAAATATTTACAATTTATAAAAATCGCACTTTGATCAGATAAACTCATTGTTATTTGTTCTGATTTTTACAGTACAGTAAGCATGCAACTTTAATATAATGGACCACATTATTAAAACGTTATTTTACTTATTACATTGACCATGTTTAATTGTGCCTGCAGGCAGTACACAGACTGTGTCTAAATAACAAAAAAATTTGATCACTTTTTCTAATCTGTGTTGTATTCGCCCCCTCTCTTTGCAGCTCTTTGTCATGACGTTATCGATGTGTCTGTGTAGAAACCTGGATCAAAATTACAACAAGCTTGCACGCTACTCCTAGAAAATATCTGGAATATTGAGCACCTTAGCCCGGACATCAGACCACCGTCAAACACTTGTAAAATTCAGATTCTGCTTCTTATTGATGCCACACCAAAGTTTACAGTTTTATCTTTTACAGCAGGGTGACCAAACTAAACCTTTGCAGCTGTCGTTGGACACTTATCTCCACCAGGGCTTTGGTTAATATAGTTTGTTAGAGCTGTGATGCCACAGGCTGGCCAGCAGTTATCTAGAAATCGAAAGAATTTTTTTTTTCATGTTCTAAATTATGAAATTGGCCTAATTTCTTTTACATACCGTAAATGTTAGGAAATGACGGAGCTGAAACAAATGGGATTTCATATTCACATTCACATCTAAACTTTGCTCTACGATCATCAGAGCTAGGCCTACGGTTTACGATTCTCCTGTCACAGGTCATCCAAGAACACCCCACCCTGAATTCCTCGTATTTGTAATGGACCCAAAATGCATATATCTGTGAAGGACATGAACAAAATCCCTCAATGTAATATTCTTTTGGTTCAATAGAATGCAGAACTACAGGTTCAGCGTGAAGCTAATCAAATCCACAAAATGGGAATAATTCATTGAAAAAACAATATTTAAATGTCAAATATCTGATGTGGCTGCTGACACTCAAGCTTCCCTTAATTCTTGGGACTGTTACACATATATTTACATTAATCTTAAAGGAAACTCTCCTGGTGATCAGTATCTTCTCTTTTACCTAGAAGATAATATTATTGTCTTTTTTTCTTTTTCTTTCTTTATTCTTTGTACTTATATCTATTGATTGAAATTCACTTGGAGAGTTATCACAAATCCCTAGATGGGAAAACTTTTATATACTAAATGAGTTGTCTTGTTTTTTTAAATTTTATTTTAAGTGAATTACCATGCACAGTATTTACCCTTTAGATTCTTGGAGTTTTTGCTTTTTATTTTCATATTCCCCACCCTCATCCCGCCCCCTCTCCATTACCCTGAGATTACTTACTAATTTCATTCTCAAAAAAACAACATTTTATAATTTTTTTAGACCAATTGTGACATCTAGTGGTCATTAATGAGTACTACACTTTTTTGTTATAAGTTGTAGATTGAAAACTTTTAATACCATTCTACTGAGCCTCACTTAGTGAACCACAATTAGGCTCTTAAGATTACCATAGGTATTTTGACTGTTTAGCATTCTAATGCTGTGTAAATCTCCTTCATTAATCTGCATGCGTGAACTGCTGAGAGTTAGAAAGGACTGAATCAACAAAGATTTTTAATTCCTGTTGTTCTATAGAGCTTATTTAAAAAAAAATTGAAATTATTTTATGTAAAATAAATAGTTTCTGTAGAATAACAGGTCTCCTCCTCTCCTTTTAATAAAAGTAAATGATTCAACAAATGTTGGTTCAGCTGCATGAGTATTGCGTCTTAGCTTATTAATGTCTGTATGCCTCCTAGTTTAGTTTGCCACCTTGAAAATAATAACTGACCTATAGTCTATGTGCTCATGCCTCACTGAGCCAACGTTACTTTATTTTTTAAGAACAAATTAATGACCTGTAGGTCATAGGTCACAGTTCATTTCTTAGGTCGCTGAAGGATCTATGTAGATTAGGTTCTACCCTTGCTATCTGCGTTCAGTGATAAAATGGAAAAATCTATTTATATCGTAGTACAACTTGTGTATAAATATAATAAAAAGGGATAGGGCAATAATATGTTTTGACATCCATGACACATTAACCCTGTAAATGCCAGTTTGGTAAGCAGTACTTTTTTGGAGTTCTCTGGATCCATGCGTTGATTTAGTTACAGTGCTTAGAGTTCGTTGAGTGAAAGCAAAAATCAAATAGTAAAAGGGAATACCATTGATTTGAACACTGTCTAATGTTAGCTAATCAATTTGCTTATAAAGATTGTTTGAAAACCCTGCATGTTGTGTTCTACATTGTTTATATCTAGTCAAGATATTTGGGTAATATGGACCTATTTCATATTTGGTTTTAGGACTGAATTATATGTTATGAGCCTATAACCGCTGCGTTCTGTAATGAACTAAATGCAAAGAATTTTCTGTGCTAGTCAATTAAGAGGAATCTGTGATTCAGTTTATTGGTTGTCTGGAGAATTGCAGACTGGTTACAGTACATCAGCGCACAAAACAAAAAGCCTTATGTAATGGTTTTTGAGAAGTGATATCTTAAAGGACAATGGTCACCTCAAATCTATTTTAAATATAAAACAACTTTCATCAGGTTTTAAAAGGAAATATATATTTTTAGAAATTAATAATTAGAGATGTCGCGAACTTCTCGCGAACATCGTGGCGAACTCTGGTCAGCTGACACATCCCGGCCAATCTCCAGCAGACCCTCCCTCCCAGACCCTCCTACTTGAAGGCAGCTTCAACATGGATGCTGTCCAGGAAGTAGGAGGGTCTGGGAGGGAGGATCTGCTGGAGATTGGCCAGGATGTGTCAGCTGACCGGAGTTCGCCACGAACAGTTCGTGGCGAACTGCGGCAAAACGTTCGCGAGAGGTTCGCGGACGGTTCGCGACATCTCTATTAATAATATGTAAAAAAAAAAGTATTTCTCTCTTTTTTTTTTAATATACTTAATTTTAAAAAATAATTTCCTTTCAGTATTTGATAAAAGGGTTACCGTTTTCCTTTAAGATACTATTGAAATGTAGAACCCTATTTTCATGGATCTATCTAATTTCTCAGCACTGTCCCAGGTCCACAGTCAGAGATACTGGATACATGGATTGTGAGCAGAGAGCTGAATAAGTGAAATCTATATGATGGCAAAGTGGTAGGAATAAGCTATTGAAAATAATCTAATTGGACTGAGATGGATGTATTGGAGGACATGGGTTGTCTTACAGTCCCCCCTGTACCCCACTCTTACTGTAGTAGAATATGATGCCTAAACTGTATCATTGAATCCACAAGGGCTAGCGTGTGTTCTTTAATTGGAATATAAGTCATGCTGACTCAATATTAGATATCACATATATATATATATATATTTTAAGTGTGTGACAATGGTTTTTTTTTACCAAGCTTTTTTGCAAGATATATATGTGTGTGTGTGTTTAGCTGGGTTGCAATGTCCATTTTTCTCAGTGTAGACATTTTTAGTGGTCATGTATGACTCCAAATATGGGTATTCACCTCTGTAAATATCAGAAAAATACAGCATATTTGTAAGATGAGTTAAAATTAAAGCATTGCAGCTTTGTGCTGAAATTAAAACCATACTGTGTGTTTTTATACAAATGTCAAGTTACAACATGATGATCACCAAATCTTACATTTTTAGGCTCACTCACTCTAGAACCTGGACCTGGACCTGGTTTATTTACCTTTTCTCCATCACAGTGCGGTCTATGCCCTGCTGACTGTCCCACCTCTATAATTGAGATAATGAACACTGATCAGCTCAACCAATCCAATGCTTTCCCACTGGCTAGAGGCTAGTGCACATGCGTGGCAAAACACTGTTTATGCAGAATGACAATGTTTTACATTGCAGGGTTAAACAGACATGACATCCAGTCTACTTTATTGAGGTGCCTATAGTGTCCATTTAAATTTGTAATTGCAATACAAGTAGAATCGTTATATAAAACAGCAGTAAACAAACTAAAGTGGTAAATAGTAATTGCCAAACTGATATTTAAACTCATTAAGTTGCAGATATTCAGTCCTATTGAAATAAAGTCTCAGAATGTCATGTAATACAGACCCTTTTTTCCAAGCACGTGCACCTAGAAGCATGTTGCGTGTGTGGACCATGCATATCTAAGGGCTGTAGAGATTGTGTTTGTGTGGGTTGGGACTGATGTGTGTGTGTTTCAGGGCTGTAGAGTGTGTTTGTATCTGGAGGCTGCAGTGTGTATATAAGTGTAGAGGGGTTGCATATTGTGTGCACATCAGGAGTTACAGTGAGTGTATATTTGTAAGGACTGTAGTGTGACTGTGTGTATTGGGTGTATAGGGGTACAGTGTGCATGCTTGGGGGTATAGTGTGTGTATACCGTAGGTGTATGGGGTGTATAGTGCATGCATAAGGATTATAGAGTGTGTTACCAACTCTATTAGTCCAGAGCTTATAAATTCCTTGGGTCCTTGGAGCAGTGGAACTAATGAAATAATGAAGAAAGGCCCCAGGGGCTACACATTTATTTGGCCCCTGCATAAATCAGAGGTGGTCAAAAGGTAGATTCCCAGCTGCTGGACAACTTCAGCTATGCTTTGCCAGCTGTGGATCTACCGTTTACCATCATTGCAGTATTCTATTTGTGTGCAGTGTCTGTGAATGTAGGTGTGTTTTTGTATGCAGTATATTTGTGTGAATGTTTGTAAGTGAGCGGGTGGTGTTTGTGTATAGTGTTGGTATTTTAATGCTCTGAGCAATGTTCTGCTGGGAAATCTTGGGTCCTGGCATTCAGGTGGATGTTAATTTTACATGTACTACCTACCAAGAGTTTGTTGCAGACCATGTACATCCCTTCATGGCAGTGGTGCTCCCCAACAAATCCGATCCAAGGAGGTCCCACCTTGTAACTTGCAGAACTTAAAAGATCTGTTGATCATGTCATGGTGCCAGATACCACAGGACATGTTCCGGGGTCTTGTGGAGTCCATACCTCAGCGCATCAGAGTTGATTTGGCAGCACTGGAAAGACATAAAGGCTATTAGGCAGGTGTTTTTAATGTTATGGCACCTGGAAACCTCTTCCAGAGAGGCTTGCTATTGTCTGAATGATCACCTAGACATGCATACATAGTAAGGACACTAGTGACCCCATTGATACAATATACAAAAAAAACAACAAACTACTTTCCTAATTTCACCCCAGCACATGGGATTTAGGCAGCCTGTTACATCTGTCATCAGCATGCCCTGCTCGCTGGTGTGTGGTATCAATTACTTTATCTAATGATGCCCCTGAATTTACATCCTTCCATAATGCTTGCCCTTTCTCACTCCATGTCCACCTCCCTTCATCCCTAATTCCGCCTGTGGTGGTAACCCCGAAAGAAGAGAGGTTTCAACTGCCAGAGATGTCCTTTCCCCCTGGTGTGAGTAGTGCTGTAGAATTCCCAAGTAGTTATCCAAGCGGTAAATAAAGCAGGTATAGCTGTTCCCTACAATCACGAGACGAGGCTCTGTGTTGAGGGTGAAGTGAACTGACTTTAATGGGACCACACACGGCCTTTTATGTGAATCCCCATGCAAAGGGTCTACAATAACATATTCCAGTGGGAGAGGGAACAGACACAAAGTACATAACATAATGATATTAACTCTCCAGGACACATATAGAAATAACACCCCCTATAGCCCACATCGGAGACACCTATAGGATTCACATAGCAAACGATCATATAAAGTATTTGGGGGTTCGGCTGACAGCGGACCCTGCCCAATTATTTCAGCAAAATTATGTTCCCATGATCCGCACCTTGATAGGAGACATGGAGAAATGGATAGATAAACCGATCTCTTGGATAGGTAGGATTCACTCAGTGAAAATGAACATTCTCCCTAGGATTCTGTTTCTATTTCAGGCTCTCCCGGTCCGGCTGTCCAAGTCTGATCTGGGGGCACTCCAGCAGGCCATGGGGAAATTTATTTGGCAAAACAGGAAACATAGAGTTTCGCGTAACGTTCTTTACACGGCAAGAGCGAGGGAGGGCTTAGGTCTACCAAACCTCTATTTCTACTATTTATCGTCCCAACTAACTCAAATAGCACTTTGGCATGCTCCTCCGGAAGAGAGGCGGTGGGTCGACCTGGAGGCCACCCTCATGGGTTCCGACGTCCCTCAATTCTTTATGTGGGTCCCTAGGGACCACAGACCATCGATACACATCGAATGCCCAGCTATTGCAAATTCTCTGAAAATCTGGGACGCAACATCAACCAAATATGGTTTATCCCCCCACCTGTCCCCGTTGGCCCCTTACTTGAGGAATAGAGCGTTCCCCCCGGGATTGGAAGCCAGAAACTTTAAGGGCATAGAGAGCACGGGGGTACAACGACTATGTCATCTCTATGAGGGGGGTGCTCTTATATCTTTCGATGAATTGAAGTCCAGAGCTACTCTACGTCCCTCCGATTTTTATCGTTACCTCCAGCTAAGGGACTTCACCCAAAACCCGCAGATTAAAACAAGCGCCTTAACCCCACTCACGTTTTTTGAAAGAATGTGCATTCAAGAACAATTCCCGAAAGGCTTCATCACCAACCTATACGCGCACCTAAGTACGACCACATCAGAATGGGGGGAGCGTCATTACACGTCTCAATGGGAAATGGATTTGAATGAGGAACTGGAGGGTGTTGAATGGCAGGAGATCTGGGAGGCAGCGGCGACCTCATCTATTTGTGTCACATTTCAGGAACAAGCCTACAAGACTATGTTCAGGTGGTACGCTACCCCGGCGAAGCTTTGCCGGATGAATAAAATTACTACGGATTTATGCTGGAAAAGATGTGGCCAGAAACGGACGTATTTACATATGTGGTGGGTCTGTCCAGAGCACAAAAATTCTGGAAACGGGTCGCGGAATTACTGGGGAATATCTTTGGTAGTGTAATCAAACCAGACCCTTGGGTGTTCCTTCTGGCCAGGTCGATGGAGAACTGGTCCAGACTGGAACAAAATTTACTACATAAGGTGACCCTGGCTGCCATGAGGGCCATGGCCCAAGTGTGGCTACAGGGAGAGACCCCCCCTCTGGATGTGGTGATACAAAAGATAAAGGACACATACATTATGGACGAGTTAACTGCCAGGGTCCGGGGCACTATGAAGAAAATGGAAAAGGTTTGGAGCCCGTGGGTGGCTAGTGGGGTGGGTGATTAGGGGAGTGGGGGACGGGCACGTTCCCTGCGTACCCTGACGCACCTCTACTGACGCCAGGATGCATAGCACACTTTTACTCCCCTTTCTGAAGCGGGACCCTCGGGATCCCACGAGATGTCCACGGTCTATAGTTTTTCGCACGGGCATGGCGGTACTCGCTTGTGGCTATCCAGCTGCCTGATAGTGTCGGCATCATCACCATTCTTGGAAAATCACTATAATACCCCCTCCCATCCCTACTCTCTCTTCTTTTTTCTCTTCTACCCTTTCGGTACTTCTCTTTCGGTTAATCTTCTCTTTTCTATATTAGTTAATCCTTTTTCTTTGTTTTTTCCCACTTATCTGACTACTGCCCAGTGACCGTGTTGCTAACTGGAGCTATATTTGGCGGGGCGGGTTGAGGGGTGATTATAGGTAGACTGTTAGTAAAATATTTTTACATAAATATCAACCTTGTACACTAGGTTTCAGTTCATTGACCTAGCCAAATTCTTAATGCATTCTAGAGGTAACTGTGGATAGATAGCGCGAAATATCACCATGTATTTCACCATCAGTTGGGAATTTTTGTCTTACTTAAAATAAAATGGGTGGGATGCCGCAGTAACCAAACTCTCATGGACGACAAACATATGTTAGATATGCTGTATGTGATCGGTTGTTAGATCTTGTAATATTGTTTGCTTTTGACCAGTACTGTGTATTGTTTGTTGACTGTGATATTGTTCATTTTTGCATCATGTTGCATATTCTGCTGTGGTATCTGATCATTTCATAAATAAAGAATTTAAAAAAAAAAGAAATAACACCCCCAAAGCACCCCCTTAACAGTTTAGACCGACTGCATTGTGCTTGTCCAAAGAGTTCCATGAATTCAGCCTGGTGGTCGGTCTTTTTTGAGAGTACGAAATATAACAATAAATGTGAAGAAACTGTTCGTACGTAGGCTTGTATAGTATATTTTGTTCGGGAGTATGCTCCCACCGAACGCCGCTCCTTTTAAACGAATGGAAACAAACATAGATGGCAGTGGAAGTTCCGCTAGTGTTCGCTCCGTCGAGTGTCTGATAATAGTTCCATACACTCGACGACCAAATACCACTGGGTGCGTTCCAAAACCAAGATGGCCGCTGCCTATGTGTTCTATGTGTTCGGTACATGAGCCAAAAGGGGCAATCTGTTTAGTGAGGTTCGTATACCGATCCAGTCAATGAAAAATAGTAATTTAGGAACAGGGGATCTGTTACACCGCTTCCGTACATTAAATTACACGTCATTTTCACACTACCTCTCCTCCCTTTGTCCACCCCCGTTCCTACCTTTTGACATTGCACACTCACTCCCTTCTACCACTACCTGGCTGAGATTAGTGCATCAATGGCGTTTACTTGGATTTGATTGGATATCAACACGGTAGTTAATGACTAAGAAAAAGAGGAAACCATTGGGGAGAACTTGGCCTGGCATAGGTAATGAAATAATCTATGGCAGAGTCCCTAAAGTTTCTTAGGGTTGTCCACACAACCAAGGGCTTTGAGCCCTTTACTTAGATAAATAAATATACTTCCATATATTTTTTTTGTATATTACTAGTTAAAAATATCACTTTTATTTCATTACCTTAAACAATAGACATATAGTAGCTCAAACACAATTTGATTAAAAAAATTGCAACAATTAAGAATAGTTTCAAAGATAATCCATTAATATGCTACCCCAAAACGATCAATAGCCATCACTACTAAATTAAAAAATTAAATTAAATATTAGTATTTTTGTTCTAATATCATTATAGATCTTATCACAGTTCTTATTAATCTACATATTAGAATGTAGTATTCCAATCTGTTCCACAGGGGCTATAAAGTATCACTATCTGTCGCAGAACTGTTTGTATAAACCATCATATGATCATATAATTTAAAACAAGCAAAATACACTGCTGGCTGTTCTCTGTGCTCGCCCTAACCTACAGGCTGAACAACTAAGTATTTATTTGCCAGCCATAATGCACCTTGCAGAAAAGAAAATAATCAAGCATATCGAAGGTTAAAAGGACAAAATCACACACACTCAACGCACGTTTCATCCGCTACGCTGGGATCAACAGGATTGTTAAAACTAACTTTCTCAAGCTGACATTTAAATAGCTCGTCTCCTATTCTGTGGTCGTCCTGTGGTCATGTGACCGTCTCATCAACTAATGATTGACATGGACAAGTGCTAATATAGTCTAATAGTCAGGGAGAATAATGTGCTAAATCTAGAAAATAAAATGATCTTAAGAATGGTGCAAGGTATTTCAATCAGAAAAAAGTAATACAGACATTCATATGGACTAAATCATTCCTATCTCTTCATGCCACTACTTGGCATTGTTTACAAACTGCCAGGAGGACAGTCCAGTGGGCAGGTTGTCAATGAAATAAAAACCATTGTGGAGGGTGTGTCCTTTGAGGATGTTTCTAACCCTGCTGCAAAGTCCACGATAGGTGAAATCTCTGTATTGCTGTATCTGAGCTCCTTAGTTAGTATAGGACAAGGTGGTACAGTGGGTGGATATGCTCAATCCAGGGGAGTATGAGGGAGTTGTCTTACTAATGGAGTTTATTTTGGACCATAATAACCTTTTCTTTGATGGCAATACCTACCTGCAAACTAGTGTCACAGTAATGGGCACTTGCTGTGCCCCAAGTTACACTAACCTCTTCTTGGCATGGTCATTTTAATTATCATTTCTCAAAATTGATCATTTTTCAGTACAGATACATAGATGATGTGATCTTGCTGTGGAATGACGATTATAACATCTTCTTGGGCTAAGGAATTGAATCACAATGATGTGAGTTTAAAACTAACCAGTGTCATAGACTCCCGAGAGATTGTGTTTTTGGACCTGGTAATCGTTATTCACTAAAACTTTAAGCTTTCCACCAAATTATTTGATAAAAACAGCCACTAACAGCATTTTAAATTGGGAGGATTTTCATCCTTTCTCTTTGAAGAGGAGTATACTGTACAGACAATATATGTGAGCAAGGAGAAAATGTATACATGATGAAGACTACTTACATGAAACTGATCTATTGAAAACTTTCTCCAGCAAGGGTATTCTAAAGGTTACTGAGAAACGCTTTCAATACAGTCCAACAAAAGTATAACAAAAGAACAAAAGTATAATTTCACACTTGCTGAGCCTAGGAACCAAATTACTGGAGACAGCGGGGTGCTCTGTATTGCACCTTTTGACACTGGTTGACATGCTGCCACAAGATTTAAAAAAACAAAACATTAGCCTATTTTAGCTACCAACCCATTGATCGGAAATTGTATCACAAAATATGCCGCTGTAACAGCTAGGCGGGCCCCATATCTCATATATATTCTGGTTTATAGCTATTTGCCACCTATCTTAAAATGGGAAAGCCACCCATGAGTGTTTACAGATGTAGTAAATGTAAGGCATGTGCATTCATTGTCCCAACTAAATAGGTGGCTAGCATGGTGAACAAAACATATTACATAATCTTGTAAATTGCTCAGCTACTTTCATAGAGTATATTGTCATCTGATCTTGTAGGCTGCAGTACATTAGTAAGACCTACCAACAGTTTAGTAGGTGCATTTTGCAACATGTCAACTGATTAAGGACAACCCTGGACACTCTGATTTCACGCCACATATGCAGGGCTGAATTTCCTACAAGGCCACCGAGGTCAGTGCCTCAAGGCAGCAGGCAGATGAAGGGTGGCATGGTCAGTGACGATATCAAAGATCTCCTTTACCAGCCAGCCCATTCTCCTGCTGTTGGGTCTGCAGGAGAATATGGGTGCAGACATGCTTTATCTTCCTGCAGACTACCAGGGATAAGGTCCCCCCGGCTCAAATAGGTTGTTTTATTGTTTTGTTTTTTTTTAAACAAAAATGTTTTATTTTTCTTATAGCCCTTATACCCTACTACAGAAGCCCCCATCTCCGCACTATAGCCACAGCTATCCTTTCACTATCACTCTACTATTGCCACCTAAAAACCACATTATTAGCCCCTATCAACCCACTATAGCTCCTATCCCTTCACTATAGTCACTATCACCTCCCACTGCAGCCCCTATCACTCCACTGCAGACCCTTTCCCCTTCACTATAGCCACTATCCCCCCACAAAAGCTTCTATTCCTCCACAGCCACCAATGCAACCTAAGAAGCAGCCCCCAGAATAACATTCCCACCCACATACAACACTTCAAGCAGCCTCCACTCACATACACCCTCTCCCAGCCCTGTCCCACTAATCATTCAACCAGCCACCTAGTCACATTTGACATTCAATCATACCCTAAACTAGGAGAATATATATTGGGGGTGCATTGAGGAAACTGGTCTTGGGGCAGCAAGGAGGGCAAATCAAGCCCTGCATGTACGTCCTTTACACATTGGGCATCCTCTCATTTGACATTTCACGCTCTTGAACAAATCAGAATTTCGCCATGGAAAGGTTACCACAAAAAAACCTTCTCCAAAGAGAGGCGAGATATATTTTTGAATTTAAGGCCTTGACTTCACTTAGTCTCCATAAGAAATTCAATAAATTTTTAAAAATTTTTTTTTAAATATATATTTTAAGTTTTCTCGATTGATATATGACTGACTTCTTGCCATTGAGAAAACATAATAAAGAGTTATCCACGTTCGGGGGGCATGTCCCCATGAGACTGTATATTTGTTGGGATATCTGTAAACTTTATGGCAATTCACACGACAAAGCTGTTTAATTGTATTAATTTACAAATTGTGCCTTTTAGCACTTTTATGGGATGATGGGAGATACTTCACATCGCTGTCCATAGTTATAGGGGATATCAGGGAATGCATTGGATGGGATATCTTTAAATATATGTAACTCTCCTGTGATACTCACTAAGGGGGGGCGACATGGACGTATCTGGTATTTGCTTTTACATCAGACATTTAGATATATATGCAAGCCTGAAAGGAATATATGATCTCTTTTCAAGTAATTGTAGATAACCCTTTTTTATAGCTTAATGTTCTCATCTTGTCTCGCTTTGGTTTGCATTTCGATGGGGTGGGGGGGGGCGCTTGAACATCAAGTGAAGGTATACATTATGTATTCTTCTTTCTGGAGGGTAGAAACAATACAAGTGTGTGCTCGTTTCCCAGTACTTTTTGATAATCTGCAGCCTGATTCAGTAGTATTATGGGCTTGAGCAACTCAGCTCTGTCTGGTATGTTTACCCAATTGCAAGCTGCAATCAGAAGAAAACCGTCTCACAATAATGCCCCCCATATACACCCTGTTCCAAATTATTATGCAAATTCTATTTAATGTCACAAAGATTAAATATTTTGTTTTTCAGTTTAACTCATGGATGGCATTGTGTCTCAGGGCTTTTTTGATCACTGAAAACAATCTTGGACACCTGTGATAATTAGATTGCCAGGTGAGCCCAATTTAAGGAAAAACTACTAAAGGAGGGTATTCCACATTATTAAGCAAAGCACCATTTTCATTCAATATGGGGAAGAAAAAGGATCTGCTGCCGAAAAGAGTGAAATAGTTTAATGCCTTGGACGAGGTATGAAAACATTAGATATTTTACGAAAACTTAAGCGTGATCATCGCACTATTAAGAGATTTGTGGCCAATTCAGAACACAGATGGGTTCGTGCAGATAAAGGCACATTGACAAAGATTTCTGCCAGATCCATGCATCGGATCAAGAGAGAAGCTGCTAAAATACCATTACATAGCAGCAAACAGACATTTGAAGCTGCTGGTGTCTCTGGAGTCCCATGGACATCAAGGTGTAGAGTCCTCCAGAGTCTTGCAACTGTGCATAAACCTTCTATTCGTCCACCACTAACCAATGTTCACAAGCAGAAATGGCTGCATTGGGCAGAAAAATACATGAAGACTAATTTTCAAACAGTCCTGTTCACTGATGAGTGCCTTGCAACCCTGGAGTAGTGCATGGTTGGTGGACGGCCACCCTGTTACGACAAGGCTGCGACGTCAGCAAGGTGGTGGTGGAGTCGTTTTGTGCCGGAATCATGGGAAGAGAGCTGGTCGGCCCCTTAAGGGTCCCCGAAGGTGTAAAGATGACCTCTGCAAAGTATGTGGAGTTTCTGACTGACCACTTTCTTCCCTGGTACAGAAGGAAGAACTATGCTTTCCGTAATAAAATCATCTTCATGCATGACAATGCACCCTCTCATGCTGCAAAGAATACCTCTGCTATGGGGATAAAAGGAGAGAAAGTCATGGTGTGGCCTCCATCCTCCCCTGACCTCAATCCTATTGAGAACCTTTGGAGCATTCTCAAGCAAAAGATCTATGAGAGTGGGAGGCAGTTTACATCCAAACAGCAGCTCTGAGAGGATCTGCTGACATCTTGCAAACAAATTCAAGCAGAAACTGTCTAAAAACTCACAAGTACAATGGATGCAAGACTTGTGAAGCTGCTATCAAATAAGGGGTCCTATGTTAAAATGTAGCGTGACCTCTTAAAATGTTTAAAAAGTTAAAATGTTGTTATAAATTTGATTGAAATAGCTTTTGATTTCAGTAAATATGCAGCAAATACAACAAATGACAATTTTCAGTTCTTTACAACCTATAAAGTGTTTTGAAACTTACTGTGCGTAATCATTTGGAACAGTGCATTGTAAGTTTTCTATATTTAAAAAAAAAAAACTGTTCTCATTAGGAGGTTTATTTTTGGAACCGGGTTTATATTGGTTTTGTCATTGTCGAGCATATCTGCCCACTGTACACGCCCCTTTGTTCTATGTTAAGCCGCTCAGATACGGTATTACAGTGATTTGGCCTACCGTTGACTTAGCAGTAGAGTTTGCAACCTCCGTAAATTACCCTTCACAATGGTATTGGCTTTTGTCATTGAGATCGGATGGTTTAGTCCACATAAATGCCTAGATTACTCTTTCCTGGTTGGTATACCCTGTACCCTTCTTACGATCCTTTGCTTTGTGAGATTTAGCACATTAGTTCTCCCAGGCTAGTAGAACATAACAGCACTTGTCCATTTCTATCATTACTCAGTTGGGCAGTCACATGGGCACAGGACAGTCCAATGAGAATAAGTGGCGGCTATTTAAATGTCAGATCAAGAAAGTTAGCTTTGGCACTCCGGATGATCCCGGCGTAGCGGATGAAACGCTCATCGAGTGCATGTATGATTTTGTACCTACTACCCGTAGCTTAGTGATCTGTATAAATATGACATTTTAGTAATGTGTCTATAAAGTCCATAGATATTTGTATAATTTACTCTGCATTCACTACTGAATCATCATGCTTACACCTATACAGTTAAATCCAGGATACAGGAAGCACTTTATGTCACACTCTCCCCATTTTTTGCATATGCAAGTCACATATATATTTTTTTCTTTTATCTTATGTAATTTTTGCCTTTTATATTTTTTTAAATTTTTTCATTGCTTTATTTTTCCCCATTTTGGTGTATATACATCTTTTTGGCAAATCTACGTAACAGTGAACTGTTTTAACATACCAGAAAGAGAACTTGTTGCTTCAACTTACGATTGGATACAGAATTTATGCACAGGATACTTCTTCCAGTATTTAGATTATTTTTTTTCAAATATAATTGTGTTGACATGCTTTAATGTGATTTGTGTGATAGCTGTATTGTAATACATTTTCCCGACACTTATCTGACACAGGATTGGGACTGTAGGCAGTGTCAGACCCTTTACTATTTTGTTGGCCGATTTAATTTCAGTATTACAATTAGTTGAACAATAAATACTATTTAATTAGCATTATTTATTTGTGAGTGCAGTATTACCATAATTTTTTTAATATTCCTTTGTAGGATTTTTTTTTGGAGTGTGGTCCCCGATACCAGCACCGCTATATCATTTGAGTGCCAGTACCGTATGCAGTATTTGTACCTTTTTCCCATTACACTGGAAGAGGATTTAAAACAAATCTTTTAAACAAACAGTGGGATTAATGTAACTAGGAGTTAGAATATTTGTCCTATAATCCACAATATAGTAATTTGTGCACCAACTGTTCAAAGTCAGGTACTCCAAAAAAACTTTGAGCTACTCTTTTTCCATAAAATGTTATATTAAATAATTCTGTGAAATAAGCCTGTATTGTGTTTTCAACGTGAATACATTTTTTATACCAGTGTTAGCATGGGAGTAAATAAATAATTTGTAATCCACTGATACATGTGTTATAAAAACTTACTTAGTAACACTGTTAAAACCAATGTCCAATAACAACCTGGGATTTGCTATTATCATGTGATGAATAATAAAGCTATGTATTATGTTGGAAATATTTGGAAAACATTCCACTGCTTTCGTTTAGCTTTTGTTAGTTACATTTATCTTCTAGCCTCTCCAATCTATCCTGCATATGCAATCCATTAAAGAATACTTTTTATGTGGCCCCTGCATTAGATATTCATTGCGAAAGGTGGTGTGACGCCATATATCCCAACTTTTTCTTAAAGGAATGCTATAGCTACCAAAAAACCTTCGAGTAATGAAGCTGTTTTAGATGGATCACGCCCCTGAGGTCTCACTGCTCAGTTCTCTGCCATTTAGGAGTTAAGCCCCTTTTGTTTCTGTTTATGCAGCCCTAACCACACCATCACTGGCTGTGACCGACACAGCCTGTATGATAAAAAAAAAAGTTTATATTTTCAATCAGATTTTAGTTTGCTTTAGAGGTTTGTATCTCCTGATTTATAAAACGAACTTAACTTTGCTAATCACACGCAGCAGACTCCTGCAAGATTTTGAAGGCTATTAACAAAGCAGGAGATACAAGACTCTAAATTAAACATAATGTGCAATAAAGGAGGTTTAAACATTAGATCTCCCTATACCGGAAGTGTTTAGGAAGGCCGTGTGAATCACATGCAGGGAGGTGTGACTAGTACTGTATAAACAAAGTGATTTTACTCCAGAATGGCAGAACATTGAGCAGGAAGTACCAAAACTGCTTCATTAATCTAAAGTTTTGTTGGTGCCTGTGGTGTCCTTTTTATAGTTTCCCTTCTTGTGCACCTGCTAATTAATGCAAATATCTAAACATGTGACAAGCAACTTAATACTTTAAATTAAATATCAGAATGCGGATATGTGTGGTTTATGTAACTTGTGGAATGATTGTTGGTGCGATTGTTGTTGTTCTTACAAACTGAGATTTAGATGCAAAGCTTATTCACTAAACTTGCAGAAGCTTAAAATGTGATTGGAGAAATTAAGGCTAAAATAATCAAGCTGTGAATGCACAAGAGTTGAATTTTTTAAGAATAGCAATTTTTGCCTTACTTTTGTCATTCAAATTTGAATTCGTAGTTTAGTGAACCTCAAGTGTTTATGGAGAATAGTGAATGAGATGTGTATTTGTCCAAGGAAAAGCCAATGAGAATCTCATGTCAACAAACAATGAAATAATTCCAAAACAGAGTATTCAGGGGTGTCAGAACCCAGATCGCTGCCATCCAATATAATAACACACAGAATAAGAAAAAAAATAAAAATAGTGTAAATAGAACCAGTTTACTTAATAATTATTAATGACAATATATTCAGACATAGTAGGAACATGTATACATACGTTCTATTGGTTTCCTGGTGTTGATTTTGCAGTTTATTTTTATATTTCGCAGTTACTTTATTTCACCTGACAATCTAGCCAACATAATGACTACATATTTTCCATGTCACGAAATGGCCTTTCCAGATTAACTGTCTCCTTGATACAGAAGCTTCCTCCCAGCCAAGGTTTATATTGCCCAGTCTATGCACTAATCAGGTTTCCCACCATATGGGGTAGCCTTAAGGACCCCCGTCTTGTTCTTTTTCTCTTCCTCAGTGTTTCTATTGTAACCATGTGGTCTGTCTGGTGTTAACCCCATATGGACATGTTGCTCTGGAAAAACTAGTGACTCACACTCCTGAGAAGTCCAAGCCATCAGGTGAATTAGAGGAAGTATTTTTATAATGTTATTCTAGAACATTTGATGGTTTTTGTTTTTTTTAGGTTTTACACCCTCCTTCCCCCACATCTGAATTACTTTATTGGCCCTAGCAATCTAGCCTTCTGTATTCTGTATCACCAATCTGGACAACCATTGCCATTCTCTTTATTGTTGGTAATATTATATCACACCTTGGCAACCATATGTATCCCTCTATACTCCCTCCTTGTTACTTGATATTTGTTCCCCGGTTAACCCCTTAAGGTCACAGCTTTAGAAGTAAAAGACCGGCATGATGGTGGCCTTAAAGGAATAATAGTTACTATAAGATTATAATATTTCCTTGCAGGGGCCACTAGGCTGAGGGCTTGAGGAATATTACCGACTGGGAAAATCCCTTATGTAAGGACCAGCAGAGATAGTGTATTGTTATTAGTAACCGCCATTAATCCCTTCCTGTACATTCCATCTCTTGATTTTAACTTTTTTATAAACTTCATTTCCTTAGGTGTTTTGGCTCTTCCAGAGAAAGTATCGTTTACTGTAATTAGAACCTATATTTAAATTGTATTTTTTTTGCAAATTGATTTCAAATTTGGGTACAAAAAGAATCTCTTTTCTATATGGCTATGTGAAATATTAATTTGGGGTTAACTATTACTCTTTTATTTATAGACGAACTCCTGGTTGCCATAGTTTCATTCAAAGCATTAAAATATCGACAGGGAAGACCAAAATTTTTAACAGTAATCTTCATTTGAGAGGTATAGTTCTCTTTAAAATCTTTGTTATGCAAAATGTATACAAACCAATGGAACATGACAATTCTTCAAAACAATATTTTTAACCCTCTGCTTCTGCATTATTTAGTCAGGACTATGTCAGATGTTTCTCCACTTATGCCACCAATTCTCCAATCAGATTAAAGCTGATGTATGCAAATCAACAACCAGGAACAATTTAGACAATTTAACAATCCAACTATCATCCTGTCACGGGAACTGCAACTACTCAACAAATGCAAAACCACAGATTGTCCATTTGTCCAAACCTGACATTCCTGTATCCAACATTCACCATTTTAAACAATAAATATTTGCTGCAATAACATTTCCCTCTTTCATACAATCTAGAGAATATGCAGCTCAACAACGGAGCCCTTTAATTGTGTTTTACGCATTTAAATACAAAGCAAAATAGACATTTAAATACAAAAGAAAAATAACATTGTTCGCAGAATATATATACTATAGAGGTAAGAGATTTGGACCGATTTCCTATTAGAATAACTTCTGATTGATTGCTCATCTGCCCTGTAACATAGAAAATTTAAGACCATCGACTCTCCGATTGCAGAACGAGTTTTAGGCCGATGCATTATTTACTGTAACTTAATATTTTTATCCTTGCCAAGCAGTGTCTCTGTAAATACTACTTCTGTCTGGTATGAAAATACAGCTCAAGGCACTTGCTGTCAAGCAGTGATGTATAAAAATATATTGTTCAGAATCTCCAAGAAGATAAGAAAAAATAGTCCCCTCCAAGAACATTAAATATCGCACTTTCCCAGGTCTCCAAAACAGATTATAATTAGCAGTGAAAGATCAATAAACCTGTTTCATAAAAGCTGGAAGCTCAAACAAACTTCGATTTTCTGATTTTTCATAAGTCCAGAAGGGATAAAGGTAAAATACTGTAATTCCAATGTACCTAGCAAAGGCCATTGGAGACTTCAGAAGAACACTTGTTTTGGAATATCCTTAGATTGTAGAAGCTTTGCGGGAGTCATAGTTCATCGTGTTTTAACATTTTCATTGTCGGCTGTCAAGTCTCTTCTTCGAGAATCGTAAAAGTCCTTAGTCTGCAGGTGTGTATGGGCTTGTCACACGCTCTGCATGCCTTCAGCAATCTTTCTCCAAAATGAGATGATTAGATTTGGCTTTGGTATATTTAATTAAAGTACATATATTAATTTATTCTTTGGTGTCATTTAAATACAGTCTGTTAAAAGTTCAGGTGATCAGATATTAAATGTCTAATTCGCTGTCCACTTTTCTCTTTTGTCGCTCCATCACAGCCTCAAGCTCTGAAATCTTTCTAGAGTCCTAAAATGTCAAAAACAAACAACTTAAATTCCAGAAATACAAACATAGACAAAAATTTGGAAAGAAGAGCAATAGAAGAACAGAATACAGAATGAAATCTCCATGGAAACAGCTCATTATCAGAGTTCATTATGTTTTGGATATATACAGGGTTATTCACTAAGGGTGCGTTTGAAAATCTCCAATGCAGAATTCAGAACAATCATTTTTTGGACATATTCAATCTCTGTTATATTGTCCAAATTAGGCATAGTAGTTTTCGTCTTCTGTTTGCCGAAATATTATTTACCATCCAAATTCCATTTTCTGGCACTTAATACAAAGGTGTTGCTAGGGTGGATCTGACATGGGATGAAGCCCCAAGTGGGGTCCTGAAAAACCACATGTATAATTTTGGCACTCTTTTATTGCTTTCCAAAAGTCCTCTTTAATATCGAGAGAACGATAACACCGCCAATTACATCATTTAATCATTTATTTACCATTTAAAATTGTAACCAAAAAGCCTTTTATTGAAAAAAATACACAGTCAAAATGGCAAGACTCGTTATGGTTAATTTTGACAGTGTATTTTCTTTTCAATAAAAGGCTTTTTGGTTACAATTTTGTGCCTATCATCTTTTAAAATACATATATTTATATTTGGAATTTTTTAACTGGCTTCCTTTAACCCTTGTGTGACTCCAAGTGTATCCGAGGTGGGAATCATACCACCAACGCTGATACCAAAGTGCAGTTGGTCTGCACTTCACTTGTGAGTAAATTTTTATTATATGCAATATGTTCATTGCATATTTTACTTTACTGAGAGCACTATTAGTTGTCTTTTATATATCCCTCTCCTGAGTATTGGACACCATCCCTCTGGAGGACTCCCATCCATTAAAGCGGGGATTATACCGCTGTACGCTCTCAACACCAGAGTTGGCTATAGCTCTTTTAAATGTGAGTTGACTGCACATATCTGTTTATCTATACTGGCTTGTCCATACTGCACCATTGGCTTTCCTCGCTTTTGTTTTACATACAAGCGGGACGGTTGGACCACTCAAGACATTGAGGACACTACACCCAAAACAAGCACCTTATAAAGACATTTACCTTTGAGTGAGACTCAAATATTTTTGGATTTTATTTTCTGTGATTTTACCAGAACTTTAGTCCCACTGTCTAAGTGAGACCACACACA